GAAAAGCTAATTATCAATTAATTCTTATACGATAAGGGCTAATGCTCGTACAGCAAAGCTAAAACAAGATCTTTAAGTAAATAAGCTTCGAAAAGCTAAAGGACGAGATTAAGCGGCCGCTAATTAGCTTTTTGCAATTTAAAAACAAACTTTAAAATATTCTTAAGTATTAAAAGCTAAAAGGAAAACTCGATAAGCCGAAATGCGAAAGAATCTTATAGATAAACGGTATTTTTTTTTTTAATTTATTAAGCAATTTATTAATCGATTTTAAAAAAAATCGAAGTATTTACGCGGATAATCTTGCTATATAAGCCGCTTTTTTTTGCAGCTAGATTTAATAATAAAGAATACTTGAATAGCGATTAAATTAATAAAGCATTCAATTTAAACGAAAAGGTTTATAAAGAATTTAATTTGCGAAAAGACGAAAAAGAAAATAATAATATACCTCGCGATAAATACGTCTCGATTACCGATAAAAAGATAAAAAAAGTCATTCGGCAATTAGCACGTTAGTACGCATAAATAAGCTTTTATTTTATTTAAATATTTATATTTTGTTAATAATATAAAGTCACGCTATATAATAACCGTTTAGCAATTTCGTCGCTATTAGCAAAATATAGCGCGGTTTTTATTAATAAAATGCCGAGCTGTTAATTTAAAAAGTAAAAAAGCTTTCTTTAAATTGATAGCTTAAGATTTAATAAGCACGGTTTTAAAACGAATTAAATAAGAATTCATTTTATTATGCTTTTAATCAATTAAATTAATATTATAACTTTTAGTTTTTATTTAATTAAGCTTTTTTACGTTTACTTTTCCTTTGATAAAAAGAAGTATTAACGAGCTAAAATTAAAGCAAATACCGATAAGATTAAATACGAATTGTTAGGTCTAGCTGCTTAATAAAATATAAAAGGATTCGAAAAGAATATTAAATTTAAAAAGCTGATTGCGATTTTATTTTATTTCAACGCGTTATGCAATTGATTTAGAAAAAGGACGAGCTAGCTTCGGAGTTGTTTTACGGCGTTAAAGATAGCGATACGGAATTGAGATCATTCTTAAACTTAATGCTTAAGTTTATATAAAATAAAATTCACGATTAATTACAAATTTTATATTTTATAAAAATACTTCTATTTATCTTATTTATTAATTACATTTATTAATAATACTTATTAATAATATTTACTTATCATATATACTAATTATATTTATTAATCACATTTATTAATTACTATTAAAATGCTTTTCGCGATCGAAAGATATATTCGTAACTTCGGAAAGTCGTAAAGTATATGCAATTGCAAAACACTTTATCTGCTTTTTAAAGTTCAAAAAAGCTAACTTTTTTTATATAATTAATAGAAATCAAATGCACTAGCTAACTATTAAGTTTTTTACTTAAGTTGAAAGTCTTTTAAGCTATAATATAGTAAGCTAAGCATGCTAAATGACATATAAACTACGGTTTACGAATAAAGTCTTTTAATTATTATTAGCTAGCTCAAGTCTAATTATATTTACTAATTACATTTATTAATCACATTTACTAATTATATTTACTAATTATATTTACTAATCATATTTACTAATTATATTTACTAATTATATTTATTAATCACATTTACTAATCACATTTACTAATCGTCGGTTTCTTATGTAACGATACGCTAAGTCTTTTGGACGCACTTTATATGCGTTAAACTACTTTCTTCTTTTTTTCCTTCGTATTTTTCGTATTCTTTTATTCTTCGCTTTTGACTTATAAACTATAGTTTACGAGTCTTTAGCGCTTCTACCTTCGTGTATATAAACCTTAGCTACTTTCGACTTTTATACTCGGTAATTGTTGATTTTAAATTATTACTTTAAGATTCTTTTAAGCTTTTATATGAACCTTCGCGCTTTCGTAAGTTCTTTTAAATAATCGCTTAAGGTCGTTATATCTTAAAGTTTTGAATCAAAAGAATTAACCGACTTATTGTATTTAAAATCGATATAAATATATTAATAAATTATTTTAATATTTACATTTATGAATTATATTTATAGTTAATCATATATATATTTTATTGAATATAATAACGATTTTAAAACTATTTATATAAACTCATTCATTAATTTATAATAATAAAATTCAAAAGGCCTTCGCAAGCTATCGAATTTATTACTTTCTTTTCTTGCGATACTTCTTTTTTATATATAAAAAGTCTTTTGCTCGCTAATAATACTAATTCTATGATATCCGTCGTTATATTCGTTTTTACTAATCCATTTAATAAATAGCTTAATTTTATAGCCGTTATTTAAAAATCGCTTAACTCGATATTCGTTTATTTTAATTAATTAGCTACGATTACGCTCTTCTTCGTTTAGCATTTCTATTGCATATCGAGCGTTTCGACCGTTCGTTCGTCTAATAAAAAGAGAATAATAAATTTCATTATCTACTTCGGTAAAGATCGAGTTTAATTAGTTTGCAATCCTTAATAAATTAATAACTTGATTAATATATAAATAATAAAACGGCATTTACAAATAAATCGATAAGCATCCGTTAAAATATAAATTTCTTTTATTTATTTTTTAGCTATAATAGATATTCGAGCTTGTAAATATAATTATAAGCTAATACGATTATAAAGTGTTCTATCGTTTTATATGATAAATTTTTAATTAAATGCTTTTATTTTTAATATTTATTAAATTATATCAATTTTATTTATCGCATAATAGCAACCGAAAAGAAAGCTGTAAAGATTATATTTAAATTAAGATTTCTATAAGCACCTTATCTTAATATACTAATTAAACCTTAATAAATTTAAGTAAGTACTGTGGTGGAGTTGGGGCTCTGTATTTGTTTTGTCCATGTATATAGTACTGATGCTAGGCACGTGGTTAGGTCACGTGGTTAGGTCACGTGCAGGCTCTTATATAGACGAGTAGTTGGTTCTTCTCTGAACCATCATCATATCACTACACAATACAATACACGTACTCACAGCACACATTCGAGTGTCTTTCGATCGTCCTCCTTTTCCTCTTTTATTCACTTACGATTCTACTATGGCTATATTCATATATATCTCTTGATTTGACGTTGAGTATATATCGGAGCTCTTCCCTTTTACATATATTTAATGACTTACGTAAGGAATCGAACTAAAGGTTGGTTTTTATACCCCTTTTAGATTTGCTTCCTTTGCGAGAAGCTATATATTCGGAGTCCACGTCATACGCTAAGCTATTGACCATGTGCTTTTGCGGTATTCCTTCGAAGAGTATTCGATATACGCTAGGCTAATAGTCAAGTGCTTTTGCATATAAGCTTCGAAGCTATTGCTTTAAAGGCGATCTTCCTTCGATTTGTGTCCGTTAAGCATGCTATTCGGTATACTCGATAAGTACTACTTAAGAAGTCGTTACTTTAGTTCGGGGATCGAGCTAGCTAGAGTTCAATTCGGTATCTACAAAGTTCTATTTACTTAAGCCACTTTGCACGGCGATACGCTCGAAGTATTATTCGTTTGGTATACTTTACCTTTTTCGATTCAATATCGATTCTAGTACGAGTCTGCTGCTCTTTCTTCTTTAAGAGAGTGGGCAATAGCTAAGTACCGGAAATACTACGCTAAGCTTAAGAAGTTGAAAATTCAATACTTACTTTGCAACGGAGATTACGCATAAGGATTCCGATTTGCTTTCGAACATCCTTCGCTTCGGCAAATGAAGGATACGACGAGCGGAAATAAGTGTTATGCAATTCGGAACCGTTTCGGTGTCGCATTATATTAAAAGCAAGCTATATGCTTGCACGGAAGCTCGGCTAATGACCGACCTCGTTTTTATTTCGATATACTTAATTTCGGCAATTACTTTTCCGCTTATTCGGACCTTACGTTTAAGAGTTAAACGTATTACTAATATCATTTATTATATCGATTTAGTTTCGACTATCTAGCTCGAAGCGATCGACACTCGACTCTTTGATGAATCACTTTCGACGCATCGGGATCTTATATTTTTACAACATTTCTTTGTATATTTAATATTTATTATAAATTATACTTATTTCATTTTTGTTATTCATTTATATTCATATTCATATCATTTATATCATTCTCGTTCTTTCTTCGCATCCGTTTCGAGACACTTTCATATTTTAATCGACATTTATCTACTTAACTTAGCGGCCTTACGTTAGAACTCTCGGAAATCAAAAAGAGCTATGACTTCCTCGACTTAAAAGGACTTCGGACTTAGCGAAGATGCTACTCGTAAGCTAACCGAGGACGAAGTGAAAAGGATTCAGGCCTTCTTACCCTTCGTAAATGCCTCGAACTACGTGAGTATCCGTGGACTTCTCTTTAGACTTAAAGCTTTTAAAATGCTTGCTTTCGATAAAGCCAATATTACGGATTATATTCGCTAACTCGAACGAGCGTTTAAGAACTACGATATCGTTACCGATTCGGAGAAGAAGCAGTGCTTTGCTAAGTATAATATCTTTAGCCCTTTTAGTTATAATATCCGTTGCAATATCGAGAGCTTCGGCGGCTTTTCGGACCCGAAGGTGACTTGGGACGACTTCAAATCGGTAGTCAGAGAGGAGTACAAGGCTTTCGACTTAGCTAAGTAGAAGGATAGTATTAGCTTTTTGAACGACTTAAGCAATAAGTGGATAGCAAGGGAAAGAGCCTTTAAGGCAGAGCTTTTACAGTTCACCCGCTAGTTCAACCTTACGGGCCTTGCTTGCTTCGCTAATAAAGATATTACCGATAAGCAATTAAAGTGGAAGTTCTTCGGTTGCTTACTACTATCGATGTAGAATCGGACTTAAAAGAACGTTAAACTTAAGGAGGATTACTTGCAAACGTATAATATAATGTATACTATAGTTAGCGACTTAATCAAGCAAGAACAGATCATTACGAAACGGATTAAAGAATATAATTACGCCGAGATCCTTAAAGCTTTTTCTCGCTATGACCTTTATTAGAACGAGAACTCTCGTCCTTAAGTATCGTCTGTCATCCTTAAGAGCAAGCGAAACTTATACGTTTCGCTCTTTTATAGCACTTACTCCGGTGATACTTATGCCTTTCCTTTTCACCGCGTAAGCACTATCGTTGCGAGTTCGATTACTTCGTTCATCGATCTTGATTTAAAGATCGAAGCTCTTACGAAACAGCTAGCGAAAGTTAGTATTCATTTAAGACTCACCGACAGCTTCGCTTCCGTATCGAAGGAGGCTTATGTGAACCTATTAAAAGCTGCTTAATATAAAGAGACTTAAGAGATCGCTTTGCACCGGGTCTACGAGATTAATGCGGCTGATACTTATTCGAATCGAAGCTACGCTATATCGAGGAAGAAACGGTCCTTAAACGATTTTAATTGCATTTTCTGTTAGTGCTAGCAAACTTCTGACTTACTTAGCTATTAATAAAAGCCTTACAAATATCAGAATCAATGCTATTTGTTTATGCTTTAGTACGGACTAGCCTTTCACTTCAATGAAGCGGACTTAATGTATGTAAGACCGTATCGAAAAGAAATACTATCGATTCCGTTTTAGTTTCGAAACGACACCTTTAAGTACGAGCAAGTTCTAGAAAAGGTTCGTAAGACAATAAATGATCTTAATCTTAAGCGTCGTTATAAAGCTTTAAAAGCACAACGAGAATCTATTAAAGAGGTTGCACGAGAACGTGCTAAAGCGCTTATTCGAGCAGCTAACGGCGGCAATGCGGAGGCTTTTCGTATTAACGATTTTAATACTTCGGATATAATTCGCTAACGATGCATCATATTAGCGGATTTATATGCTCGCGTGTTTAATACGGAAGCTACTATTGCACCGGTAAAGACTTAAGCGCGCAACGCGGCTTTTCGAGTTACGCTATACCCGCTAAAAGACGCTCTTTCGATAAAAGCAAAAGTCCAATCTACTTATAGCTAGCTTAAGGTTACTTTCGCTAAGCTAATAGAAATAGATAAACTCGAGCCCGCTTATACCGCGATTTTTAATCGAAACGCTTTACGATCGGAAGACTTACGGAATCTGCTCGTTATATTGCCAAAAGCTCTTAAAGCTGCACTTAAGCTTAAGGCCAAGCCTTTTAAGACTGCTAAATCATACGAAAGGCTTGGCAAAGTGATCTCTTTCTTAGGAATAGACTACGAAGCGACTCGTATTAAGCTCTTAAAAGGGCGCGATTTGCTAAAGAACCTAACTTTTAGTAAGACTATTGCGTTTTTCGCTGCTCTTTTTACTTTTAAACGATCTTCTTTCGAAGGTATAATCGATAAGATGATTTAGCAAACCCTTACTAGCGAGAGCGCTATTAACTGCCTTTAAGCTACGGTTAGCGTTGCGGAAGCTTCGGAGGATTGCTTGATCATAAGTAGCAAGCTTATACCGAAGGCGACGGATGATCCGGTAAGAGACGGACTTGCTTCGAAGCTTTAAAGACCTATTCAAAGAGAAAGTAATATCTTTTTATCTAGTAGCGATCCATTTTGCAAAGTAACGGGTCGCTTTATCGATGAAGCGCTTTATCGCAAGAATTTACCTCTTCCTCTTTCTTTTGCTACTTCGATTTACGGCCGAATCACCGGAGAAGCAGACCTTATACAAGTCTCTGCTCGGCTAAGACGGATCTTATATCGGAATGCTATTGCTTAGCGGTCTTAGCTTAGACGTTTATTCGAATTCTTTTAGATGATTAAGCTTTAATTGCAAAAGAACATCCGTAGCAGCTAGACGAAGCACCGCCGACGCAATACGCTTCTTGCGCCTGAATCTTTTTCGATTTAAAGACGGTTTTGCTTTATTTTTATTATCGGCTTTATTTCGACTTTCTTTACAGTTATATTTTACGGTGTTTTCTAGTTCTAATATCTCTTTTTCGATTGGTTTACTCGTGAGGATCGGCGTACTTTGCGAACCGCAAACGGAAGTGATACGGAACTTCTTTCGGCGGAAATCGGCTTTGCTTCGACGTTCGGCTAGCTATTCTTTAGATACTCTTATTATCATTCGCTAACTCTTAAGGTTATCGTTAATATTCTCGGACAGTCTTTTATTATTAATGCGCGGGCTATACTCGATACAAGTGCGGAGGTTAGCGTTATTACTTACGACGCCGCGGTTAAATTCGAAGTCTTTATAGCTTACGACCAAGAGATAAGCTTTCGAATAATCACCGGTTTATTATCGCGTTTTATCGGATACGTTAATAATATATCTGTTAACATCGAAAGTGCTACGATCCGTACTCGATTTTACGTTATAGATTCGCTAAGGTTTCGACTTATATTCGGTTACCCTTTCATACGCAAAGCAAGAATCGGTTTTCGATACTTTTCGGACTATGAAGGTGGCTTTGTTATTATTATAGTTACTAATCCGTTTACGGGCCAAGTTACTTAAGCTAAAGTGAGCGATAAAACGAATCAATACGACGAAGCCGTCGATCGCTTAAAAGAACAGAGTATAAGCTTTATCTATTACGATGAGTCTTCGAGTAGTAGCGGTAGCGACTCGGAAAACTAATAGCCGGCCTCGTTGGAAGCGCCGAAGTCGATACACTAGAAGCTTCTTGCTTTTCGCTTAGTTTCGAAGGCGAAACGTTGCAGCATCGGGAAAAGGACGACTTTACTACTTAAGAGCAGTTTATCGATGTTCTTGCTTTTACGGAATGCGATCTATACGATCTTTTAACAACTTGCTAAATAGATGCCGTTAGCACCGATAACTTTATAATCCGCTATTACGATTATATCGACTATTAGAATTCGACACTTTATCGAACTCGAAAAGAGATCTTTTCGGATTTAGCTAAAGTGTTCGGCATATACAAGACTAAGGATAAAAAGATCAGGCCAATTAACGAAGCAGACGGCGTAAAAGCAGTATTAAGTGGCAAGGTTAATTAGTACGAGTTATCGAAAGCCAGAGATACGCTATAAGAGCAAGTAAAAGAATACAAGCAATACCTTTTTCCGCGCATTGCCGATATACCGAGAAGCTTTCGAATCACACTCGAACGCATAGCGAACCTGGATGTCGGTAATATATTACGGCTTAAAGAAAAAGATTTGTTTAAAAAGATGATGCTAAGCAAAGAAAAATCAATCGCATTCGCTTAGCAAAAGTGCGGTAAGTTTTACGACGACGTATCATTACCGACTAAGCTTAAAACTATCTTATATACGGCTTAGCAAGCTCTTAACTACTCGTGTCCGAAGGCCCTACAGCTTATTGTTATTAAAATACTTTAAGACAAGCTAGATAGAAGAGTTTTAAAGTATTGCGAAGAACCGTACCGGAATCAGTGGTTCTTAATAGCTAAAAAGCAGCCGGGCTAGTACCGACTCATCAACTTAGCAACTCTACTTAATGTAGTTATACGGAGGGACGCTAATCTACCCTTAATTATAGATGAGTTTGCTAAAGAGTTTTCTAGTTGCTAGATAGCTAGCCTAGTCGACTTTTATTCGGGCTATGATCAGCAAACACTTTATCAGTCGAGTAAAGACCTTATCGCCTTTTTCACACCGCTAAGTCTCTTCCGATGCATTACCTTTCCGTAAAGTGCTATAAACTCGATAGCTTAATTCGTCCGAACAGTTAATCTTATTTTAAGGCCTTTGCAACCTAAGGTCTTTATACTATTTGTCGACGATATTAAAGTAAAAAGACTACAAACGGACTATTCCGACGAAGAAGCACTTTCGAGTATACGCCGATTCGTGCTCGAACACATCTAGAACATCGATAAGACTTTAGAACGGATTAAGCGCGTTAGTGCTATAATTAAAGAAAAGTCATAGTTCTGCCGGGATAAAATGAATGTAGTAGGATTCGTATGCAATTCGAAAAGTCGAGAACCCGCTGCGGATAAAGTTATTAAGATTAATAACTAGAAAACCTTCGAAAACGTTATTAAAGTTAAAGGATTTCTAAGCTTTTACTCTTACTTTCGCATCTAAATCAAAGGATTCGCACACATTGCTGACCCTCTTTACAACTTTATAAAAAAAGATATAGATTAGCAATAGACCGAAGCGCATTCGAAAGCTATGCGAATACTATAAAATGCTTTGACGACGGCTCCGGTTCTGATTAAGATCGATTACGAAGACTAGAACAAAGAAATAGTAGTAGGAACGGACGCTAGCTTAGAAAGATAAGAAAGATATATCGGCCAACGCGAGATTACCTTTAGCAAAGTGTAACCGGCTCGGTACGAATCCGAGGCTTAGACGAAAGCAAAACGGAATTACGACGTTATTAAACGAGAGTGCCGCGGAGTACTTAAGGTCTTTAAGAAACTTAAGCTATAGATTATCGGAGTGCACTTTATCTTCGAGACTGACGCTAAGGTGCTCGTTGCTTAGCTTCGACGAAGAGCTACCGATATACCTTCGGCTTTAATTATACGCTAGCTAGCTTGAATTAATCTTTTCGACTTTAAAGTTCGATATGTTTTTAATAAGGATTATACCGCTGCTGATGCACTATCGAGACGGCTACGGCATTTCGATGATTTAAGCGAAGAGGATAAAAATGAGTTCGATAACAGCTTGCTAGCCGACCTAAGACTTATTAAGGCTCGAGACGGCTCTAAAAGACCTTCGACGGACCTTTTAATAGATATTCGCTAATCTATTTTTAAAGACATGTTTTAACGCTCGAAAGAAGCGGAGAATGCAAACCTAGACGAGTCTAACGACGACCACGATTACAAAGGTCTTTTGAACCTAATCGAATACTCTTCGAAATCAATTCGAATAGCTACTTTCTTGACGACCTTGCGAAGACTTAAAGACTTGAACAAAATAGAATGCCGTAAGTTTAAAAAAGAGGCTATTAAATACGAGGTAAACGATAGGAAACTTTAAAGACTTTCGACGAAAGGTCTTCTCTTTCGATTAATAGTCGACAAGCCTTCGATTAGGACGGACATTATCACGGCTTGTTACGATAAGAGTGATTATAAAAGCCGTAAATCAACTTATTATCGTGTATCTTAGCGCTACTTTTAAAATAAATGCTACACGGACGTTAAACGATTCGTTAAGACTTGTAAAGAATGCTAGCATCGAGCAGCTAATAAGCTCGAAGAGCTATTGCATCTTACCCGATCTAATAGCTTAATAAAACGTTAAGCTATCGATATCATTTATTTACTTGCACGCAATAGCAAGAGCTATTTAATTATTGCTAAAAACGATATAAGTAGATGGGTCGAAGCGAGGGCGATTCGGACCTGAGACTCGCTTTCGATAGCTAAGTTTATTTAAGAAGATATTATTTGCCGCTATAAGATTTTCTTTCAGCTGATAGTCGACGGAGGTTCGGAGTTTAAGAAAGAAGTAATCGACTTACTTAACAATTAAAGAATCAATCGAGTCGTAGTCTTAGCATACCACCTTTAAGCGAATAGAATAGTAGAACGCGGCCACGGACTAATTAAAGACGCATTAAGTAAGCTTAAAAGCACCGACTGGATTGCGCAATTGCTAGCCGTTTTATTCGCCGACCGCACTTCGGTATATACTCTTACCGGATTCACCTTTTTTTATATAGTATACGGCAAAAAGGCAATGCTTCCGATTAAGACCCGAATCTAGTCTTAAGTTACGTTATTTTAAGAGCTAGTAACTAATCGTGCTAAGCTTATCGAATTGAGGGCACGCTAGTTCCGAATGCGAGACGAAGACGCTACGGAGGCCACACTCAAGAAAACCCGCTGCCGCTAAAAGGGAAAAGATGCTTTTAATAATAAGAAGAACCTCCGAATCAAACCTTTAGAAGTAAGTGACTTGGTCCTTAAGCACGACTCGGTACGTGAAGTGGATATGTCTAACGTTAAAAAGCTGGATTTTCGGTGGCTTAGCCTTTATCAAATTTCGTTAGTAAATACAAAAAGATATTACAAGTTGAAAGAGCTAAGAGAAAACGGAGCTTTGTTAAACGGAATATTTGCCGGTAGTCGATTAAAGAAGTTCTACGTGCGATACACCCTCGAAGCGTCACCACCTCGCCCTAAGCTTTATACAAAGAGATCTTTAAAACAGCTTTCATTAGATGAAGTGGCCGAGTCCGGCCCTTAAATCAAGCGCTTAGATAGATTTGTCATTCGATTACTTAGCCTTACGGAAGAGCAACGGAGCTAATACGCAAAAGTCTTTATGAGCAGTAATAAAAAGGCAACAGAGAGTGATTAAGTCATGAAGGCATGATTATACGTAAAAAGAGGGTCGAGTTTAAATTTGATTTTTGATTTTTTCTTTGTTTAAGTTTAGTTTTCTTTGTTTTCTTTCTTCTTATACTCCTTTTATTTCCTTCTTTATATTGAAGAGCCTTACGTCATCACACCTATATGCCCCCGATCTACTATATACGAGCATATCATATACACAAAGCGGACCTTACTCGAAGGCTGATCAAGAAGAGCATACGAAAAATCTATTGCATTAATTACTTAGCAAGCTGCCGACACGCGATAAAAACCCTTTCGACTTCACAACTCAAGGCTAAGTGGAATGGTGCGAGAGCCCTCCGCAGCACCTTAAGCACTGCTCTTACCTTTCGAAGTCTTACCGATGTTGCTACGACTCGAACCTTTCGTAGAACCACGAGTATTGTTACGGCTAGAACCTCGCGAAAAGGAACTACCGGTATTGCTGCGATTAGAAGCTTAGCGAGCACTTCGGCGAAGCTTTTTTGCTTGAAAAAGTGCTAGCGATTCCGAAAATAAAGATGAAAGAGACGAGGACTTTTCGGCAATCTATCGTAGTCAGATCGGAAGGGAATCATAAAAGGTTCGCAATATATACTTACGCGGCTAAAGAAGTTACTTAGCAAGGTATTGTTTCGATCTACTGCAGCTAAGATCTGACGCAGCAAGTCTAGCGAAGCTGGATCGGCGGTAGCAGCGGCGGCAAGTAAGCGTAACGCCGAAACGAGACTTAAGCTAGCCAAAGGACTTCTAGTATTAACGGCGGCAAAGGAAGCAGCGGCGACACGAGCTCGAAGAAAAGAAGAAGCATCGCTAACACGGAAGGCAAAAGCACGGCGGGTCTTTATAAAGAAGTTATTTGCAACTGTGCTCTTACGAAAAACGTCGTCGGCCGTCTTAGTTCTATTGTTTATAGCCGTCATCGCATTTATTAAGACTATGCCGGCATTAACGACTTTTGCGAGGAGCTATCGAATCGGAGTTAAAACGAGTGTAAAACGGAGAGTAAGATAACTTACAAGGATGCAAGTTGACTTGATAGCACGGCAACGCTTGCATTTGATAGATTTATCGGCGGAAAAGATGCATCGACTCGCAGCATTATCGATAGTTCTGCTTGCGTGGCTTACGCACCGAAAGCAGATCGACAACATGATAGTAAAGATAAAGTTAATAAGTGGTGATATTAAGAAGAAGATAGAAGGGTATAAGGTTAATATAAAAAGAAGGTTGACTATTTATAGCAAGACTTCGAGTGTATACTGCCGCTTTTGTTTTCTTTGTTACGTTACCGCCTTAAGCCTCGCGCTACTACCGATTCGGCAGTGCGTCACCACTTGACCGCCTAAACCGGCGCACGCTTATCCTAACAACAATACTAACGCTCGAGTTGATATTGTTTTTTATAGTTGAATAAGAGTGCTACAAAAGATATAAAGAAGAGTTAGACCCGAAAGATTATCTTGCATTTTCGTTGCTATTCTTATCTTCTTTGTTATATCACATACGCTCCGTATTAACACCGATCCGGCGATGCATCATTAAGTAGTACTTTAAGACCATGTTGCGACCGTGCTATTCGGCTACATGCTCGTCCTGCAAACCCAACCCCACCACCTTGATAAAAAGTGACTCGAAGGCGAGTCTGATTCGAAGAAGGGACGTATGTAGTAGAGTTAGGGCTCTGTATTTGTTTTGTCCATGTATATAGTACTGATGCTAAGCACGTGATTAAGTCACGTAGTTAAGTCACGTACAGGCTCTTATATAAACGAGTAATTGGTTCCTCCTTGAACCACCATCACATCACCACACAATACAATACACGTACTCACAGCACACATTCGAGTGTCCTTCGATCGTCCTCCTTTTCCCCCCTTATTCACCTACGATTCTACCATAGCTATATTCATATATATCTCTTGATTTGACGTTGGGTATATGTCGGAGCTCTTCCCCTCCACAGTACTTGTTATAACGACTTTAAGCGATTATTTAAATAATTTATAAAAAAGCGAAAAGATCATATAAAGCTTAAAAAGATTATAAAATCATTATTTGAATTTGAAATTATTAATTATCGAAAAGTAAAAGTTAAAAAAAACTAAGTGTTAGATTCCTTTTAAGCGATTAAAAAATATATTCGTAACTTCGTAACGGTCGTTAAAGTATTTGCAATTGCAAAACACTCGATTATAAAAGTATCTGAATTTTAATTGCTTTTTAAGATTTAAAAAAGCTGATTCCTTTTATATAATTAAAAGGAATCACGCGCATTAGCTAACTAATAAGTTTATTAATTAAGTTAAAAGTCCTTTGATTGATATGATATACTAAGCGAAGCATATTAAGTAGCTCGTAAACTCTTTTAAATACTATTAGCTAATTAAAGTCGATATAAATACACCGATATTAAGATTTATATATAAGAAGGTTGTTCGTAATAGTCAACTTAAGTAAAAAGAGCTTAAAAGCGTTAAAAGATATAATTATAATTAAGCTTTAATAAAAAGGAAATAAAAAGAAATGAAAAGATAAAAAAAAAACCGCTAGTTAAAATTTAACGCTCGCGAGAATGCTGCTTAAAAAGAATTAAGCGTAAGCAAAACCCTTTTTAAAAATAAATTAACTTAATAAAATATCAAGACTTTCGAATAATAAGTTTTAAGCAACGAAAAGCTAAATTAATAATATTAAAAACTAAAGTGCGAAAATCACTTAAGTTTAAATAATATTGATTTTATAAATATTTATTAACTATATTAAATAAAAAAGAACTTAAATAAGTTTTAAGATATTGATAAAGATGTTTCGTTTAAAATGCGATAGCTACGGTACGGAAAGTCTTTAAATTACGAAAAGCATTCAAAAAGTAAATTAATTTACTTGCGATATTTTTACTTTTTATCGATTTACTAATCGATTTACTAATCGATTTACTAATCGATTTACTAATTATTATATAAGATTATACAAAGCGCATTCTTCCGCTTTTTAAAGCAAAGTCGTAGCAAATCGATTATATTTTTCATAAAAAAAACTAAGCAAAGTAAATCAATCGAAAGTAGCTACGGATTTACTTCTCGATAAGCAAACTCAAGATAATATAAATTAAAACGTTTTTAATAATATAAAAAACGAAAACGATTTAAAAAATTCAAATTCGAACGATACGAACGAATCGATTAGCTTTAAACGCTATATAAACTATAAAAATAAAGTGCAACGAAGTACGATATTATATAATATACGCTTTTATTTAAATATAAATTCTAACTTAAATATTAGCGATAGCAAATTTATTCGATTAAAACGATTCGAATAATATTTCTCGACGAAATTATTTTAACGCAAAAAAAATATCAAGCTTTAAGCAAAGTAATAAAAAGATAATAAGTAAAAAGAAAGCTAATAGAATACCGGACTCGGCTTCGCTATCTTATAGAACCTTAAATACCGCTTAAACTTCGAAACTTAATATTTCGAAACTTAAAACTCTTTTAATCGTTATTCAAAGTTAAAGTAAATCAATTATTATATATAAGTTTAACGACCTT